CATTTAGAGAAAATGCGAGAGAAGGGTGAATAAGCGAAGCAGAAAGCATTTGGAGAAAGGAGATCCACAAATGGCCCTTTACACACCCGTGGACTCTGGGGGAGGGGATGCCACGAGTGGCATAAGAGTCCACATTAACTGTGCTACACTGCCCAGACCCGAGCCAGGTTTCAGCAGGCAATGGTGCGTTCTCCTCACTGCATGGAGTGGCTGGGCTGGGCAAGGCGAACCGGCGACATGCTGAACCTGCCTGGGCATGCACAGAGGCGGTGGCAAGCACATGCACCTGGCACCTGGCGTCCCAGGTGATTGTTTTGCCACACAGGCTGACCGCATTCTGAGTGCTTCCATTTCACCTAGGACGCCAGGCGCCAGGTGCATTCGCTCACTGTTACCACCGCCCAGGCAGGTTTGGCATGTCGCCGGTTCACTTCACCCAGCCCAGCCGCTCCATGCAGTGAGGAGAATGCACCGCTGCCTGCTGGGGTCTGGGCAGCATAGCGCAGGTAACATGGACTCTCATGCTGCTCGCGGCATCCCCTCCCCCAGAGTCCACAGGTGTGAGAAGTGGGTGAGAACCATTTGCTGATTTCCTTCAGGGGATGCCTGTTTTTCTCCCTTCCTCATTACAAATATCTTCCTGCCACTCTGTTCTCATGGGTGTGCGGCTGTTGTCCAGCAATTTACAGTGGCCTTTCAAGCCATCGCCACTGGCAGCACGGCCACCAGCTGTGCTGGCAGCCTGTACCCTCCCTTGTCCCTTCCTGGGCAGGGAGGGAGGGAGGGAGGGAGGAAGGGAGGGAGGAAGGAAGGAAGGAAGGAAAGAAGGAAGGAAGGAAGGAAGAAAAGGACAATGGGAAGGAGGGAGAGAAGGAAGGAAGGGACAGTGAGAGGGAAGGAAGGAAAGGAAAGAAGGAAGGAAGGAACAGAGAATGGGAGGGAAGGGACAATGAGAGGGAAGGAAGGAAAGGAAGGAAGGAAAGAAGGGAGGAAGGCAGGGACAATGGGAGGGAGGGACTGCCCACCACAGTCCCACCCCCTCTACCAGAGACCCACGGATCCCTCCCACAGCCCACCCGCACCTCCCAGAGGCACCCCGCAACTTGAGTGATGTTGAGCTGGCCATGTCCTCCCCGGCCATTGACTTTGCTTGTCAAAAAGTTGCAAAAAGTGATCACATGACCCTGGGACACTGACCGTCATAAGTATGAATCAATTGCCAAGCATCCGAATGTAAATCACATGACCCTGGGGATGCTGTAACGGTCATAAGTGTGAAAAATGATCATAAGTCACTTTTTCAGTGCTGTTGTAACTTCGAACAGTCACTAAGTGAATTGTTGTAAATCGAGGACTACCTGTACTTTATCACTTTTTTCCTTTTTTTTGGGATCAGGTTTTTGACACCTTGCTAGGTGACTGGTGGTACTCAAATACTGCAGTCATGACCACCCAGTGGCCACGCCCACCTGGCACTCAACAATAAGTGGGTTTTGGGTTGCAGTTTGGGCATTCGGTCTCTAAAAGGTTCGCCATCACTGCTGTAACCTATAACTATTGGCCTTGAATTTGGTAAATGCAATGTTATATAACAAGAAAATAAGACTAAGAAAAAAAGGAAAGAAAGAATAAAAGATGACATTTTCAAAAGATCAGAGAGAACAGAAAACCATGTATTGATAGGCAGACATTTGAAGTAGAAATGGCAGAAATAAGAGGAGATTTAAGGACACTTTATCAAATGACTAAGTGATTGGCAGGAATTTTTGCTATAGAAAAGATAATCCAATAAAAGGAAAAACCTTTACTGAACTAAAGGGGAAAAAGCATTAAAGATTTAAGCAGCTTTTCTATGCCACCAAAACTAACACTCAATTTTGATAACTTAGAAAAGGTTATGGAACTTGACATTCACTCTTTAAAAACTGCTTCTGAATGCTGAATATTAAAGAGATGAAAGAGCATTACAGTTCAACTACTCAACATAAGTAGCATGCAACTAACTTCATACCAATACTCTGCTTTCTCAAAAGATATTGGAGAGAAGCTCTAGTCAAAATGTTCTCAGAGGTCATGCAACTACCTATATAAATTAGGATTATGAAGGTTTAAATTCAAAAAACCATATTCTTCAGAACCATATCGACTTTGACATTCCATTTATGTAAGAAACAATCTCCAAAGAACAAGTTATAATTGATCTAGTCAAATATTACCAAATTAGCACTTTTATTCAAATATTTATTTTAAATACTTTATTTATTTACTTCAATTTATATGGTTTTCCATCTCATATTTGGATGAGAAGGCTGACCTCTTTTCCATTATCAAAAGCTGGTTGGGCACAGAATGGGGGGGTCTCCATTTCTGAAAAGTACCACTCTGATTTTTAGATATGGTACCAGTCATGACTTTAGGGCAAAAATATGGCTGTTGTTATCCATAAATTTCAACTGTGGAAGGTCCAGACAAGAAGCACATCCAGAAATACTTGCTCTAAATTTATTGTAAGTTGACATTAACAGAATATTGCATGTCAGAAAATACTCTTCACCTTTACAGTCCAAGAAACTAGGGAGGGTCTCTTTTCAGATGTTTTTATCCCACATTCTCACTGCTGTTTGTCTGACTGTTGTTTAATCTTGTAATTTCCCTTGTAATTCCTACATGTAATTACAATGAGTCTCTGGTGGCCTTTAGGGACATTGTGCAAGACATACTGTAATTCATAAATGGATGTAAAATTCCCTTTGTGAGATTGGCCATAGGCCATAGCAGTGGTGACGAATCTATGGCACACGTGCCAGAAGCGGCACTCAGAGCCTCTTCTGTGGACATGCGCGCCATGCCCCGTAGATGGCAACCATCCCTCTTCAACCAGCCGCCCATTTAACTCACCAAGGTCCCACAGGGCTGGATGCATCCCAGCACCCATGCGCTCGCTGGCCTATGTGTGAAGGGGCTGATGGTGTCAGGCAGCCCCCGCCCTGGCCCCTGTCTTGCTTTGCCTTTGACAATGACACCCCCACCCTGCCTTGCCTTGCCTCATCTCACCCCCCCCAGGACGAGCCTCCTGCCCACCATCCCACCTGCCAGAGACCTCCTGGATCTCCCCCAATCCTGCCCGGCCCCCACATCCCTCCCCACGAGCAACATTGAGGTGATCACGCCCACCTTGACCACACCCACCCAATCTGCCATGACCACCACAGCCATGCCCATCCAGTAGGCCATGCCCACCTGGCACCCAGCAATAAATAAGTGGGTTTTGGGTTGCACTTTGGGCATTCGGTCTCTAAAAGGTTCGCCATCATTGGGCCATACTCTACTATTTGTTTACCTTCCTTTCTATAGCATACAGCCATCCCTGCCAGAGTACCTTGAATCTGTGGTCAGTGTGACAATTGAACACTACCAAGAATCCATCTGTGAGGGAGATGGGCTGTTTAAAAATGTGATAGATAGATAAATAAATAAATTTGTTGATGGAGTTCCCCAGGCTTATGGTCCTGAGAGACTTCAAACTGGTTTCATTGAACCTGGGCTCAGAGGTGGCTTGAAATTCATGGGCACCATGACAATTGTTGATCTGACCTAATTTATTAAAGCTCCAACCTGCAATGGAAATTACTCACTAAATCTGGTTTTTGTCCAGATTTGGGAGAAAGTTAACATCATTCCTATGACGGATTGTAGTCTGGATTCCCAGGAGGAAGGGGCTGAAATCCAGAGGGCAAAAGGGCAGCAAAGCTTAAATAGTTTGGTTGGGAGAAGGAGAGTTAAGAAGGATCTTCTGTAGCAGTTCCCAGATTATACCTACAATGATGCAAATAGTGGCTTTACTTTGGCAAAATTTCTTTCTACAAATGAAGAACAATAAAGGAAATTTTTCAGAAGTAATCCCATGTGTCTTTTATGATTCTTGGGCCTAGTAATTTCCTTGTCATAATCAGACCACCATCATAATTTCCAATAGAGCTTCCTACTCAATATATATATATATATATATATATATATATATATATATATATATATATATATATATATATATATAGGTCTTTGGTTGTTCGGGTTTTCTCCCACGTAAAATTGGAAGTGTCTTGGCGACGTTTCGACGAAGTCCCATTCGTCATCTTCAGGCTGGTGTTTTCAGCTTCGTAGCACGAAACTGAAAACACCAGCCTGAAGATGACGAATGGGACTTTGTCGAAACGTCGCCAAGACACTTCCAATTTTACGTGGGAGAAAACCCGAACAACCAAAGACCTACATACAAACACCTGCGAAAACCTCAGAAAACACACACACACACACACACACACACACACACACACACACACACACATATATATATATATATATATATATATATATATATATATATATATATATTATATAAATTGAATAAGGAAAGAGTATATAATTTTGTCTCATTCTTTTCCCAACCTGGAGGCAATCTATTTCATCATTTTCCTTCCAACCTGTGGTTTCATATCTTGTGTATAGATTTTTCATAAGGACAATGAGATGTTCTGAGTTTCCTATTTTTCCTAAGCACATCACACTACTTGATAGTATAATTGAAGGCCTTTTTTAATCTTTTTAGTATCATTTCTTAATTATCCAGCATGTATCAGCAATAATGCTATTTGGCCCTTTTCTAAAACCAGCCTGAATATATGACACAACTCTTTCATGTAGGATTCTAATCTGCATTATTATTCATCTAGCACATGAAGAATAGCTTTAATTTATTGGTCAGTCAAGATTCCTTGGGACTCAAACTACTAACATTAATTTATTATCAATTTTTAGTAAATGACACACACATACACACAAAACCAAACTGATGTTTCATAGCTTGCTGGTACATCAATAGTGTGGCTTAAAAAAAAAATCTGCATTTTATCTGCAGATAAGTGACAGCGTATGGCCCTATGAATTTAAATAATTTAATTTAATGTTTAACTAGAGTTTTGTTTTAAAAAAAATAATCCTACCTTAAATGAATTGGGATAAAGATCAATGTATTTTATGGCAGTCCAACTCCTGGAATGGGGATTCCCCAGAAACTCTACATGATGACTTTCAACATCTCCATTAAAATCATATTTCACATACTGTCCATCAACAGGATCAGGAGAAAGAATGCCAGGCCATCTTAAAACAAAATGTTTTCAAAAATAAGTTCAGAGAAAAATTAAATGCATAGGTTTATGCTATATCTAGAAAGAAACATGTTTGGAGATATATCAGCAACAGACTTATTAAATAACCAGTAGAGCAATTGTAAGGGAGAGGAAATAAGCAGTTAGAAGGTATAGGAAATGAAAGATAGACCAGCCTGTATTTTAAAACCTTGCTAAAGAATGGCACTTCTTGTATCTTGTGCTCCACTTTCATGGGTTTCTCAAGGACTTCTGTGATGGACTCTCTGAATTACATCCACCCTATGAATTTGCATATTAAGACTGTCCTGTTAATTTGACCTCTTGACATAAATCCCAAAATGCTATAAATATTTCCTCTATTTCCCATGTTTCTTCCACAAATTTAAAAAATATATTTTCTTATATTAATCACAATTCTTCATAAATATATTGTTCTGACATATTTATAGCAATAGCAGACTTATATAACCACTTCATAGTGCTTTACAGCCCTCTCTAAGCGGTTTATAGAGTCAGCATATTGCCCCCAACAATTTGGGTCCTCATTTTATCGACCTTGGAAGGATGGAAGGCTGAGTCAACGTTGAACCAGTCAGAATCAAACTCCTAGCAGTGAGCAATGAGTTAGTCTGCAATCTAATCACTGTGCCACCATAGTTTATACTTGGGAATTGTTGGAGAACTATAATGGAAGCTAAATAGAAAATCATTATGTCCCTTAAGGTTTAAGAACATATATAATCTTTATTACAACATTGTTTTTTAATGTTGCAATTAACCTAAATTATCCCTAATTAATGCTTAATTTCTTAAAACCTTACCTTGGCCATGTTTTCATTTTTGCCAGAACCAAGCTTCCTAATGGAAACTTTGAATAAATATATTTTAATCCATGTTTTTGAAATTGAGATTCCTTGGGAAAATATTCTTCAGCAACAGAACATTTATTAAACTTTGGATCAATATTCATATAGCAGTACCATGGTGTATTAGAATCAATATTTTCTATATCATCTTGCTGTAACAGTCTCCATTTTAAACAGTCCCTGTTCTCACATTGTATCCATCCTTTACCTATGTAAAAATTATTTTCTTTTACAGAATCCATATAACAGGTCTTCACTCTTATAGTCTGTAGAATATTTGTTCCCTCTGAAACATAAAGAACAATATTAAACATAAATCATTCCCATGAAAATTGTATTTCCCTGAAAACTCTGTTAATAATAAAACTCTAATTACTCTCAAAAGTAAGTGATAATTAACTTCTGCAGCTTGAGAAAATACAGTGGCTATGTGGGTAGAAATTATAGTTAACCAGTGGTGGGATTCAGTCGGTTCGCACCGGTTCAGGAGAACAGGTAGCTAAATTTACCTGAATTCGGAAAACTGGCTGACTTCCAGAAGTCCAGTCTAGGCCTTGGAGGTCTCCAAGGCGACCTCCAAGGCCTAGAACTGTCCATCGGAAGTGCATGGATACCACTTCCAGAAGTCTGTTTTAGGCCTCAGAGGCCTGGAGGAGGCATTGGAGGCCTGGAGGACGCCTCCCCGGCCTAGAACAGCCCACCGGAAGTGTGTGGATGCCACTTCCGGAAGTCTGTTCTAGGCATTGGAGGCCCAGGCCTGCATCTAATATGAGAACCAGTTGTTCAGGTATTAGAATCCCACCACTGTACTTAACTTATGAAAACGTGTACAGGTAGTTCTCAATTATAACTGAGCTATAGGTAGTACAGGTAGTTCTCATATACTGTAAGTAATTCTCAACCATAACTTACAACCCAAAATTATGGTTGTAAGTTGTTGCAATCATTAAGCTGGTCACCTTGTGACTGCAGTTAATTTTACCCTCTTTCCTATGGCATATGCTATTATCATTAAGCAAATCTATTTTATCCAATGTCTGGTTTTCACTAGAAACCAGAGGCAAACAGTGGAAGCCATCAAAAACTGTCAAAAGCATAGTCACTTGACTGTGCTGCAAATGGCTCTAAAGATGAGCTGATTGCCAAGTTCCCAAAATGCGATCACATGACTGTGCAGGGTAATGTATATGGTGATTGAAATCAGGTCAAGTGACTACTTTTATGAAAAGCAAACTGCTTCTGTGATTATGCTTCCATGAATTTTTCTTGCTAATTAATTGTGAAGCTCATTTAGCCCTATTAACAGATCCTTGATATGTGGCTTAAAACAAGCAAAAATAGTTTTCCAAAAAGATAGCTGATATGAGATGTTTGGCATACTTGTAAAACAGCAAATATCCTACCTCACACAGAGTAGCTTATAAAGTCAGATTTAAAGAGTCTGAAACAATAAGGGTTATCATCACTTCAGTATTTAATGCAGCATTTCAACAGCTCTTTAAAGATAACATTGAACCCAAATAGTTTTTGCTTTTCAACCTAGATTTAAGGGCATTTCCATATTACCATGGCTTCATTATTAACTGAATTTCTCAAGAACAATTTAATGATCCATTATAGTCTTAATCATAAAAAAAGAATAAATGAAGTTCACTATATTATCCTGAGCTGTTTCAAGTCCTATAATGAGAACAATCTTCACACAAGAGAACAAAATAAATGGGAACTTGAAAACTTAGATTATTGGAGTTTAATAGACTAACCTTCTGTACAAGAAAATGGGCTGTGCAAACCACCCGGGCTAGCAGTGCATGTGCAAACGGGCTGCGGACTCCCATCTCGTGCTAACATTCCTGTTCATGCACACGCACAGGCGCAAACAGGGCCGCAGGTGCTAGTGCGAGGGTGGGGGGGAAATGTGCGCCCACGTGTGCGCACACCAGCCAGTCTTTTCTACGGCCCACTGGCCAAGAGCCCACGGCCCAGTCCCAGGCTGTGGACCATAGGTTGGGGACCCCTGTTATAATGCATCAGGAAATAAACAAAACTAAAATATGAGAGAACTACTAAATCACATGTAAATTAGAGTGAGTTACACAAAAGAGGAGGAAAATAAAGAAGTATTGTGATTCTTGAGCTTGTCACTAGCATTTAATAAATACAAATTTTATTTTAGGGGTATGGTCAAGATAGGTCATTTCTGTAGGTAAAATTGCCTCAAATTAATTATAAAGGTGGAAGTGGATATAACATGGCATTTTACTATATTAGTAATAATTCAGTTGCTTTCTGACAAAATCACATACACGTCCCTTAATTATTTTAATGAGAGCTTTAAACATGTCCCACTGAAATGAACAATGTACAAAATTCCTCTATAATTATTTTGACCTTAGGTTTCTTATTGCAATTAGTATCAGCCTCTGAAGGCTCAGTGATAAAAGAATGGCATTTATATATGGATACATGTATGAATGCATGTAAGTATGTGTATTATGTCATTCTTACATGACATATCTCAGAATGTCATATACATTAGGTTACATTACACTATTTGACAAAGTAGACCACAATCTACTGCTTAGTAAGCTAGAAAAAGGTGGGATAGACAACATCATCACCAAATGGATCTGTACTTGTCTGACAAACCGTACTCAGTGAGCAATCCTCAATGGTATTACATCCACATGGAGAGAAGTAAGCAGTGAGATATCACAAAGCTTCCTCTTAAGCCCAGTACTCTTTAATATCTTCATAAATGACTTAAATGAGGGAATAGAAGGGGAACTCATCAAATTTACAGATAACACTAAACTGGCAGGAATAGCCAACATCCCAGAAGACAAACTCAGGATCCAAATAGATCTTGACAAACTTGAACAAAGGGAGGGAGGGAAGGAAGGGACAAAGAGGGAGGGAGAGAAGGAAGGGACAATGAGAGGGAAGGAAGGAAGGGAGGGAGGGAGGGAGGGACAATGTGAGGGAGGGAAGGCACCTACCGCAGTCCAATCCCCACCAGAGACCCAAGGAACCTCCCCACAAACCCGCCCTCACCCCCAGAGGCACCCCACAACCTGAATGACGTTGAGCTGGCCCTGCCCCTCCCCTGCCCATTGACTTCACTTGTTAAAAAGTTGCAAAAGGTGATCACATGACCCTGGGACACTGACAGTCATAAGTATGAATCAGTTGCCAGGCATCCAAATGTAAATCACATGACCCTGGGGATGCTGCAACAGTCATAAGTGTGAAAAATGATCACTTTTTTCAGTGCTTTTGTAACTTTGAACAGTCACTAAGTGAATTGTTGTAAGTCGAGGACTACCTGTCCTTTATCACTTTTTTCCCTTTTTTGGGGGGTCAAGTTTTTGACACCTTGCTAGACGACTGGTGGTACTCAAATATTGCAGCCATGTCCACGCAGTGGGTCACGCCCACCTGGCACCCAGCAATAGATCCGTGGGTTTTGAGGTGCAGTTTGGGCACTTGGTCTCTAAAAAGATTCGCCATCACTGCCCTAGTAAGACCACACCTGGAATATTGCAACCAGTTTTGATCACCATACTACAAAAAAGATATTGAAACTTTGGGAAAAGCTCAGAGAAGAGCAACTAAATGATCAAAAGCCTGGAGACTAAAACATATGAAGAACGGCTGCAGGACTTGGGTTTGGCTACTCTAAAGAAAAGAAGAAACGGGGTGACATTGTAGTAGTATTCCAGTATTTGAGGGGTTGCCACAAAGAAGAGGACATCAAACTATTCTCCAAAGCAGCAGAGGCAAGACAAGAAACAGTGATTGGAAACTGACCAAAGAGAGAAGCAACCTGGAATTAAGGAGAAACTTCTTAACAGTGAAGACATTAATCTATGGAACAGCTAACCTTCAGTAGTCGTGGGTGCTCCATCACTGGAGGTTTTAAAGAAGAGACTAAACAATCACTTGTCTTTAATGGTATAGGTTCTCCTTCTTGAGCAGGGGCTGGACTAGAAGACCTCCAAGGTCCCTTCCAGCTCTATTATTCTATTCTATTCTATTCTATTCTATTCTATTCTATTCTATTCTATTCTATTCTATTCTATTCTATTCTATTCTTCTGAAATATATTTCCATGTGTAATATATGTACAAAATGTTGATGCATATTGTTTTATATGTTTTAAATTGATCTGGGAACATTTAATTCTAAAATGAAGCCTACAGATTAAATTAAATAAATTGTTTGTCCATATGCAGTTTTTTTTTATAATTTAACATCTTCAACAGATACTTCTCTTCTCCAATTGCCTTCTCAATTGGAAAGTGTTTGACACTGCTTCAATTATGAAATGTTTCCCCAAACATGTAAAAGTTTATCTTTGTAACATTTTAATTCCAACCATATACAATTCCTCTAATCTAAAAGTTGTACTGATGATCAGTCTTAAGCCAAAACCTTATAGGCTAGATCAGGGGTTCTCAACCTTGGCAATTTTAAGACTTGTGGACTTCAACTCCCAGAATTCCTCAGCCTGACAAGGTTGAGAACCCCTGGGCTAGATGGTCAATTGCAATCTCTCAAATGTCCAAATGTTATCAGTCTTAAAAATACATACAAAATATATAATTTTTAATAATAATATTGCCTCAGAATTTTTTTTTTATTATTTTGGCCTTTTCAAGTCAATTCAGTTGCATTGTTTTTTAGATCAATCACTAGATTGCAGTTGTGGAGGGACTTTTTCACGTGTCCATGCTGGTGCTTCATCCGATTGGTTTCATTTTCTTTTGTTCATTGCACCGACAACACTGTTATTACAGTTCTGTACAATTCATGCATATGAAATGAACAAATAAATAGATCAGCAGATCATCTCATTTCACAATGAGAAAACGTAATAGATGGCCAGCTTTTTCTCTTCTGAGGAGAAATAAAGGCCATACCTCAGTACGTGAGGTAGATCCGTACCATTCCGACAAATCTGCCGGTAGGGACGGACTACAATTCCCTTCTCTCAAATCCCCTCCCCCTCCAATTGCATGCCGGGAACAGAACTGCCCGAGAAGAGAATTGCCAGGGCGGGTTTGGTTCTACAGCCTCGCAAAATCAGTGTGGAGACTACGAATCCCGGCATGCCTCGCTGCTGACACCCATTTCCCCCACTGAAATGGAAGGGTATTGCCTGTACACGTTACTATCATGTGAGATGATGGAAGTCAAGAGATTCCTGGTGAGTCTGAGGGAGTGAAAGGAAGAAAGAGAAAGAAAGGCATCGTGCGGCTGCCGGGGACTCTGTCTGAAGTTATAGCTGCTCCTAGGCTGCGAGGAAAAGATGAGAAGTCCAAGCTAAAGTGGCCTCCCCTTCTTGTTCTCCCCGCAGCGACCCTGTCCTGTTAACTGGTGCGAACGAACACGAAAGGGTCCCGCCCACTTCTTCCGCGAGCTTGCTGGTTGCAGGTAACTCTTGTTGGCGTCTCTTCCCTGGCCCGCCAATCTAGGGGTGTCAATCAAGTTTTCAAGCAAAACCCCAGGGTCTCGTGGCCTGTTCCTCACACGCAAAATAGGGGCCCCAACTTGGGATGGGGTAGCTCAGCACTGGCCAGTGCTTTGTTTCCAGTACTGGTTACTGAATTAACCCATTGATTAGTTTTGTAGAATTTATTGAACCACAAACTGACCATGAGATCTATATATGCGAATAAGATACAGCAAGGTCGACATAACCAACCTTGGCATTTTGTGCAAATTCCTCTGTGGGGTTTTCATCTAATTAAAAATATTACAAGAACTGAGTCCTACTGTGTTTAACAAGTTTTGTTGCATTATATGCGTGCATAGGATTGCAGTTTTTCTTTTTGTGGAAAATAATTGCTTGACTATCAAATAACTTTTTTCCAGAAATGAGAGAATTGGTTTGTGGACTGTTACTCTGATACACAAAATACTAAAGACCAAGCATATATTCTTTTTCCTTCTATTTATGAGAATTCAAGTTCTCCAAAACTTTTATTTATAAATCACATTTATAGCTACCTAAGATTGTTATGAGTTGAGGAATCTATAAATGTGATTTATAAACTTTTCCTTGAAACACCTCTGTGAATGTCTAGAACTTTCA